CTGACCCTGACCCTGACCCTGACCCGAACACTGACTCTGACCCTAACACTGACCCTGACCCTGACCCTGACACTGACCCTGACCCTGACCCTGACCCTAACACTGACCCTGACCCTAACACTGACTCTGACCCTAACACTGACCCTGACTCTGACCCTGACACTAACACTGACTCTGACCCTGACCCTAACACTGACCCTGACCCTGACCCTGACCCTGACCCTGACACCGACCCTGACCTGACCCGAAGCCAAACACTAGCCCTAACAGTAACCATGATCCTGACCCTGGCCGTAGCCCTGACCGTAACCTTAACCCAGCACTCGCCTTCTCTCCGCCATGTAAACTGTTGCCCCATTTTGAATCTGGAGCTCTTGCATTCTGTCCTGATGCCCTGTGTTGCTCCTGTTGTCAGCTTTCTCCTCGGGGGGCTGTTCCCAGGCACTGTCCTCGGAAACCAAATCAGACGACAAAGAGAAGGAAAGCAGCCTCGGCTCCCAGCTGGAAGATGATCTGTCCGAGGACGACGACGCCAACGATCCCAGGAAAGACAAGCTGGGCCGCAGTCGGTCAAGGTGCGTCACTGTCTCCATGGGCTGGGCGTGCAGGTCATGGAGGTCTGGTCAACCCAACCTTGTACTTTCTTCACCGTGTCCTCCTTCACACACAAGCTTTTCCTTGTCTTCAGAAAGCCTGTGCGCAAAGCCTACTCTTGCTGCTATTCCCAATCTCTAACAGCAACGTGAGATGACCGTTCAGCCCCTCTAGACTGTTCCGTTCAATCATGGTTAAGCCAGGTCCTATTTTGTAGTAGCATCACTGGATTAGAGGCCCAGGGGTTAATGGACAGAGGGCGCTGGGTTCGAATCCCTCTGTGATCGACGATAAAATTTGAGTTCTGCAAAAGTCTGGGAGTAAATGTTAATCTGATGACGACCATGTCGATTGTCTTTAAAGCCCCAGTGGGGTTTGCTAATGGGGGAGGGGGGAGGGAAACCTGCTGCCCTTAACTGGTCTGGGCGTACGTGACTCCAGACTCCCCCCTGCCGAAGCGACTCTCAATTTACTGTTCAGAGGTGATGTTCTCACACAATTGCCCTCAAACCCTTCATCAGGATCTCGACAGAGCCCTACCATCTGCAGGTCCCCTCCGTGTCTAAAAAATCTATCCATCTGTCAGATAGATGTCCCTTAACCCGAGTCCGTCAGTCCCTTGTGTCCGACTCCCCAACCTGGACAGATAGCATCTCCATGTTTACCCTGTCAAGCCCTCTCTGTAAAATTTTTATCCTTTGGTTATGTGGACTTTGGGGATGGCTGGTCTGTTTTCCTCTGTCACAAAAGAATTACATCCAACTGCTTCCTGAGAACGTTCCAATGTTCTGGCCCCGACTGCTTTCTGTGGCGGAGAATCCCACAGGGGTCCCCTAACACTGACTCTGACACTGACCCTGACCATAACCCTGACCTGACCCTAAGCCAAACACTAGCCCTAACAGTAACCATGATCCTGACCCTGACCCTGACCCTGACCATAGCCCTGACCAGTCTCTGGGTGAAGATGTTTCTCCTTGTCTCAATCCCACCCCGTCTTCTCTAGACTGTGACGCCACCCACCACCCCCCCACCCCCGCCCGCTTCTGGTCTTCCCCTGGTCATTGGGAACATCCTTCCTGCCTTTCCCCCCTGTCAAGTTGTGTTAGAATTTTATAAGTTTCTATTATGACCCCCTCTCCTCATTCTTCTAAACTCCCAGTGAATATAATCCTAACCAAGCCAGATTCTCTCCATACGTCAGTCCTGCCATCCCAGGAATCAGTCTCACTTCCTCTGTGGCCAGAACATCCTTCCTTGGATAAGGAGACCAGAACTTGCCCCACAATACTCCAGGTGTGGTCTCACCCTGTACCATTGCAGTAAGGGGTCACAGTGGCTCAGTGGTTAGCACTGCTGCCTCACAGCGCAAGGGACCCGGGTTCAATTCCACCCTCGGGCAACTGTCTGTCTGGAGTTTGCACATTCTCCCCGTGTCTGCGTGGGTTTCCTCTGGGTGCTCTGGTTTCCTCCCACAGTCCAAAGATGTGTAGGTTAGGGTGGCTTGGCCGTGCTAAATTGTCCCGTAGTGCCCAGGGATGTGCGGGTTAG